CCTCCACTCGCGGCTGCTGGGTGACCTTGGGCAAGCCATCGTTCTGTCAGAGCTGTCCTTGAAAAAGAGCACTTTCTGTCAGAGCTCTCTCAGCCCCACCTCCCTCACAGGGTGTGTCTGTTGTGGGGAAGGGAAGGAAAAGGAGTTTGTAAACCACTCCGAGTGAAGGGCTGGGTAGAAATCCAATCTCTTCTTCTCTTTTTCTTCTTCTTTCTACTCGGCAATACTCGGTCCCGAACGGTTTGAAAATGTAATTACATAAACAACTCCTCTGGAAGTACAGTTTGAAGAATGGTGGAATGTATAGTGGTAATTGGCTTCTGGAACTCACTGCTACAAGATGCGGCAACGGCCACAGCCTTAAATGATGGCCCCCAAAATATATCAAACCGATCCATGGAGTATAAGTCTCCTTCTTCTGTTCTCAGACCCCATATCCATGATCACAGGCCGGAAATGGGAGAAAATTGTAATTTTTGCCACTTGGTTAAAAAAAAATTAATGTATTGATATTAATACGGTCTGTATTCACTTTATAGTTTTCATGTTTTTACCGTGTTGTATATCGCCCAGAGCCCTGCAATAGTAGGGATTGGGCATATTATAAATGTAATATAATAAATAACAGATAAATAGGCATGATAACCAAACAGATTTTTAAGCTGCTTTATACCAGCGTTTTAACATTGATTTTTAAGTGATTTTCCTATTTTTTAAAAAATTGTATTGATATCCTGCCCTTTTTCACCCCAAGGGGGCCCGAAATTGGCTGACATTCTCCCCCTCTCCTCTGTTTTATCCTCACAACAACCCTGTGAGGTAAGTTAGGCGGAGAGCGTGTGACTGGCCCAAGGTCACCCAGCGAGCTTCCATGGCATGAGTGGGGATTCGAACCTGGATCTCCCAGATCCTAATCCGGCACTTTAACCACTACCACAAGTTCTCTCGGATCGCACACTGGGAGAAGTGTGGTGTGTGAATAAATGTTTTAGAGAAGCAAGCAGAAATGGAACCTCCGTGTTCAACAGCAGCGTACCTCCGAACGCTAGATGCTGGTGACTGAAAAACAGCAGACGGGCCTCACCTTCCTTGCTCTGCCAATGAACACCCAGAGCCGTCAGGGCTGGCTGATGCTGGAAACTGGATGCTGGGCTAGAAGAGCTCCTGGTCTGATCGCGCAGGGCGAGCCCCAGGGTGTTAAGGGCGTAGGCAGAGATTAGGAATTGGAGATCTCTCAGAAGTGCAACTGATCTCCAGACGACAGAGATCAGTTCACCCGGGCTGCTTTGGAGGATGGACTCTATGGCAGTATGCCCCACCGAGGTCCTTTCCCT